TGTCGCAGAGCACCTAGTCATGGCAGAGCTAGCTGACTGAATCCAAGTCTCTGTATGCAAATCCAGTGCTGATTCTACCACACTGTAAATGTGTTTTGTTGATATACATTGTTTTACCAGTGTTATGTAGATTTATATCAAAATAAAAAAAAAATGAGGGAAACCTACAATAGAAAATTAGAAGTTAAAATTTAAAGGCTAAATATAACCTTGGTTCTCCTACACCTTATGACTGAAAAGCTCACCCCTATGGACATTTTTATAGCCTTGTGTTTCCTGCCATGATATTTTGAGAGAGGATGAGACTCAGCTGTAGTCTCATGTGAGGGGTTGCCAAAGGGATGTGACTATTTTCACAATTCACTTGACCACTGAACAAACTACTCATTTTAGAAAAACGTGCAGAGCAGTTTGGAGCAACTAGATACTCTGGACACTATGGAAATCGCTTAAGGACACAACTATCTGTTTTGCTCTCTCTTGGTGCCTAAAATAGGGCCTACTACCAAGCAAGTGCTTGACAGACATTTATTGAATGAACAAATGACTGAATGGCAGTAACAGGTAGTCGTGGGCTCACAAAGCGTGTTCATGAGGCTAAGTCATCCTCTCTGACCAATCTTGGAATGGAATGTAGGAATAGTTATAGTGCCAGTATACTCTTCAGGCATTCCAAAGATGATGTTTTAAATAAGAATAAACGAAAACAAAACCAAACGAAAACAAAAATTATTTCTTTAAAAGTTATAGCAAAAATCGGGTTTTCTGAAATTTTCTCCATCCTAGACCACCTCCTAAAACCATTGATTGAGAAGTCTTTAGCCATATGAAGGAAAATTTTCAAAATAATTGATACATGCTGTGAATGGTGGTGGGTGACGGAGGCATAGATTTTGGCCAGACACTCTTGAGCTAAAACCCTGAGTTCTAAATGACTTATTAGCTATATAACCTTTGAAAAGGTTGTATAGCTCCTTAGCTTATTTCAATGTCAGCTTCCTCACTGGTAAAATGAAATATTTAATTCATTGAGTTATTATAAGAATTAAGAAAGATTAATAGTGCCTGGCACTTAGCAGGCTCAATAAATGTGAGTTCCCTCCCCATTTCTCTCCCTTCCTTTCCCTGCTCTTTCCTTTCTTGACACCCATTTATCCTAAAACCATAGAGGTAGGAGAGATTGTGTTTTTTTTTTTTAAGTGTTTATTCCTGCTTTTTTTTTTTCTAAAAACAGGAGTTGGAGGAGCTCTAAGTTTTCTACTCCTTTTTTTCTTTGAGTGTCAGATCTAAGATATTAAATCCTATTATATAACAGAAAAACAGGGAAGCCGAAGGTTAGAACAAAAAAATTACTGTAATTCGACAGGCAATAGAAAAATAAAAGGCTTTGACTTCCTAGGCTTCTTATTTTTCCGTCGTTGTTGCTAAAAGTGGTTAAAGAGATATAATGGAAGAAAAGGTGGCCCTTGCTTCTGAAGATAACTGCTGTCTCAGGAGCTTTAATGGGGACATCTGCTGGCTTTTTAACAAAGGAAACTGGAGAGGGTCAAGGGCAAGTGCAGGAGACTATGGTTCACGAGGGAGCCACATCTGTTTGGTATTCTCCCAAGTGAGAAAGCGCAACTTCTGAAACAGCATGGGTATATTGGTTAAACTAGAATCAAGGAAGAGATAAAAGCTTTTCTGTCCTCCATGTTTCAATGGTAGAGATCAACAGCTGTTTATATCCTTTAATACCTAACTAAGAGTGAAGCCTTCACATCTGTCAGTATTTTCCGGTTCTATTTCCTTGAATCACAGTGGGGAGGAGGTGAAGTTTGAACCCCTCCCAATTCCCAGGCAAGAACACAGAAACATGCCTAGGATTCAAAGCTGTAATGCTAAGCAGATATCCCCATTTCTCATCCACCCAGGGTCTGCTGTTTGCTGAGAATTCTTTTACTTTATCCTGACAGACATCTTGATCGTTTTCATGATAATGACTCATGGCAGCACAAAGATCAAAAAGAAAAAAAGTAGGCTGAAATAAGGGGGAGAAGTAAGAGGAGGAAATGGATTCTAATAAAAAAAGTGGCTCCTGAAAATAAGTTATTTGTAAAGCTAGCAACAATACCGTCCAAAGGCCAATAACAGAGGTGAGCAGAATGCTAAAGAAGACCCTCAAGGTAGTGGTGGATGATGGTGGTTTTCACTGACCTCTAACATTTCACCTTGAGAAAGTTAAATAGAGAAAATTAAACTCCGTGGAGGCAAGGTACAGAAAATACTCAGGATGGTGATAAAGGGATTTAGAGATATGTGTTTAACTTCGCTTTGATCACCAGTACCATAGACACATTGGGACTTTATAGAGATTATTTTTCCATCCATCCATCCATCCATCCATCCATCCATCCATCCATCCATCCATCCACCTATCCATCCTATAACTTATAAGGCACAAAGACTGGATCTCGTACTGAGATTTTCAAAAGAATAAGACATATTCCATAACTTTAAGGGGTTTATATTCTAATGAGTGAGAGGACATGGTATAAAGAATGCATGAACATTCACTAAATAGAGACGATGGTGATTCCAGAAGGAGAGAACAACATGGATAAAACCAGAGAGGTAAGAAACAGACAGTTTCTGGAGGATGAAAAGTATTCTGAGCGGTTATAATAAATAGAGGAATGAGTGGTGGGTGCTTATTAAAAGTGGAAATTCTTAGGTCTTACCTAAGAGATTCTGATTTAGTTGTTAAGAGGGAGGACCAAGGAATTTGCCTTTTAAACAGAAGGCCCAAACAAAAGTTTGACAACTCTAACTTATATAGATTCATATTTCCCAAAAGATGCTAATGACATTCCATTAAAGAAAAAACAAGCTAGCAGGTTCAAATTAGAAACACCAGATACTAAAATATTATTCCTTTCTTAGAGATTTATAATGCGCATTAGCATGTTAAAAGTCCTGCAGTAAAGAAATCGATTTTACTCAGCATTTCCCCAACTTATTTTTCCATGGAGGTAGAAGTGGAATCATGGTACACCTATTAAAATCTCTCAGAAATGTGGTGACAGAAAGAATCTAACTATGGGAGGTGAACACGCAGTGTAAATATATATATATGCCTTACTGTTAAAAAAATAAAAATAAAGTTGCTCTAAAAATGAGGGAAAAAAAATAAAATCTCTCGGAACACTGGTGTACAAGGAGCATATGATTGAGAAGAGCTGAAACAGATGATTCTGATCAGGTGAGTATGTTCCCTGAACCCACTGAATGGCTAAAGAAATGCCTAGAAAAAGATAGAAAAGTCGATTACTCTGGAGGACATGGTGGCATCCACTGATTTCCTACAAGCAAAGTCTAAAACCACATATGATGTCCTATATTCCAAGCTGACCACAAGAAACTTCTCACTCTGAAGTAACATACCATGGCTCTGTGATATTATTTCTGGTCACCAACTCTATGTGGTAACCACAGTTGCCAGAGAGAATAGAGGCACCCAGAGTTCAAAGCATCAAGGAGCAGAAACAGAAGGGGAAGGACAAAGAAAAGTCTCCTTGCCCATGTTTATCTTTATTGCTATCATATGTTCTGCACAGAGCACTGGCAGTTGCTTACAGTGCTTTTGGAAAAGAAACATTCCTCCTAGCAACAAAAGAATCCTCTGACAGTCAAAGAAAGTGCAAAAAGACGTGAACCTAAGAAATTACTGCCCGTTGGAGGTGCCTATTACATGCCTAGGGGTGAGGGGGTTGAAATCTGTCTTCTTCCTCCCATGTTAGTGAATGGAGGGTTTACACTACCCCCACCTCCTTTCTTAATGAGGGACAGCAGAGGGAAAGAACATGAGAGAACTGGACAAGTCAAGGCAACACCAGAATTCTGAGCAAATTGGTTTTGTGCTGAATATTTCAAGATGTACATACTGCCCTAATCAATTTATAGACTTTTTTTTCTGGTATTAACTTAATTACTTCCATACGCCCCACCTCAACTTTCCATATGCCACGTGGGGACACACACAACCCAACTAGAGGTGATTTCAACAATGTGTTTCAAATACTTCTTTCATACTCCAACCACTCCAGAGCTTTTTTTTTTCCAGAGCTTTTTAATAATACTTTCCAACAGCACAAGTATTTCTTTCAATCATTCCACAAATATTTCCTGACTGCCTACAAGGGTTCCAGGGCACCATGCTAGATACTGGAGATACAACAGTGAATATAAGGAGATTCCTCTTTGCAACTGAACCTAGGCCCTAAAAATAAATGAATTTTACATTTAGCCTGCCAGTGCATGGAAAATCTAATGATTAGCAGCATAAAGAAATACAAGAGGTAGAAAAGGTTTGATTCTTCTCCTTGAAAAGTTTTATGACTCAAAACACAAGGGAAACAAAAGCATTTGCATTTCAAGTGTCCTGGTGGGTCTAGCAGCCACACAAGGGTCTGAGTTAACAGTACAGCCTGGAATTAATAACCTATAATTGGGAGAGGGAAGGGCAGAATGGCAGGATCTTAATTTTCCCAGAATGCCATCTACTTGTTCATTTGATCTGCAAACAAATCCATGGATTCTCACACTGGGAGAGATGAATACCAATAACTGTGCCAGAGTTACTGTAACTTTAACTAGTTAATTAGCTAAATAATAAGAACCTTACCAGAATAACTGAGTGGGTTTGGAGTCTAGTCCTAAGGAAGCCAGCATGATCAAATCTAACATTTTACCAAGTCAATGTTCCCAGCACATAGTATGTGTAATTTCATGAATGAGGTCCATGAAATTATTGTAAGTGGTCCACAAATGATATTTTTCAAAATTTCAATGAGTTCTTAGCTATGGAAAGAGAAACTGCAGGTATGTGAGTGATGGAATTTGGAGAAACATTGGTAATGGGTGCTATCCAGCATTCAAAGTCAGTCCTGGAAGAAGCCTCCAAAAACTTTCTGAGCTTGGGTAGGATGTGACAAAGTAACCAAGAAACATCATGGACTCACCCACACAGGTTGGAAATATGTCTTCATTGTTGATCTGGACCTCAATCCAATCCATGAGAAGGTTCATGTACTGGGGAGCTGGCAGCGCAGTAGGCTTCTTGTATTTGAGGTCATCCTGCCACCGATACTCATATTTGGGGCCCCCTGACATCACAGGACAGGTCCGCTCGGTGCAGAACTCACAGATGGTGCCGTAGATGAGGTTGATCCGATTGAAGAAGTCCACCACATGCACTGCCACCCAGTCATTCTGGTCTTCGCCGCTGGGCAGCTGCACGGCCGCCTTCAGGTCCACACCGGAGTTGAGGGATGCCTGAGCCCGTTTGTGGAGCTCGAACCTCTGTGTGCCAGGTTCAAATTTCCTCTTGGGCCGGAAGGTCTTGTCCTTGTTGAATACCTGCTTCAAGGCTATGGACATGGTCTTCTCCTTTCTTTCTTTTGTTTTGCAGGAAGCGAAAAGGCACTTGGAACTTTTCAGGGAGAGATCACAACCCAGTAGCGTTTTCCAGCTCTCTGGCCCGTCTTGCGTCCTGTAGTTTTAAGCTACTTAAATGGCCCTTTCCATCTTCTTCTTGAGTGATCTCCAGGAGAACTTCATGTTTCTTCCTACAGGCAGGAGAGTAAAGGGTCTCATAAGTACTCAGTTTGCATTTAAGAGATGACAAAGGCTCAGACCAGATTTCTACCTTGCATTTGGCTGTGCCCACTTCCATCTAGGTACGTGGATGAGGAGATTAAGCCAAATCCCTGGGAATCTGCATCGGTGATTCAAACCATGCAAACCACCAAATAAGTAAAGGCATCTTACTCCTTTTCCTCACAGCCTTGGTCAAATCTCTGGTGACTCTTCCCTGTGATTATAGGCTCAAGGGACCTCTCGAAGGTGATAAGGATGAATATGGTAGTCACTGACCCCTACCATCCCACATATGCTCTTTTTGAGAGCACTTGTTACCCCCCCACCACACGCACACACTTTGTCCCTATTGAATAAGCATGGGGCCACTACTCCCATCCTCATGAATACAGCTGATTGGAGCAAGGGTGGCTATCACACCAAGCTAGCTAATAAGAATATTTCTCCTGGGAATTTGGAATCAGGCTCCAGCATATGTTAGGCATTATCTCTGAGAAGTGATGAGAACTGGATCTAGCTGAGCCCTATTTGGATCATGTAGAGTGCAGCCCAAAAAGCTGGTTGGTCTACAGAGAGGGGAAGGAGGAGAGAAAGAGGAATAGAGAAGAAGAAGAAGGAAGAGGAAATGGGAGAAGCCACCTACACACAAAGAAACAAAGACAAGAGCACAAGCAGCCACATAAGAAGAAGAAAGAAAAAGACACAGTGAAGAGAGAGTAGCTTCCTTAGTTCCTGAAAATCTTCTAGGAACTGATACCAATTCCCTTTAAGGCCTTGCTGTGATTCCAAGTCCTTGGGATCCATATGTTTTTCCTGAATTAATCAAATCCCTTGTTTTACTTTGGCTAACTTGAGTAGGTTCTGTTTTTTTCCACGAGTCCTTAACTGTGACAGCATTTATCACTCCTATGACTGCTCATCCTTCATGTCTTTAATATCACACCCTAGACAGAACTTCGAGGCAGAGCTATCCAATAAACCTTTCTGTAATAATGCAAATTTTCCATATCTTTGTTGTCCTCTATGGTACCCATAAGTCATATGTGGTTATTAAGCACTTGAAACGTGACTAGCATGACTGAGAAACTGAATTTTTCCTTTTATTTAATTTTAATGAATTTAAATTGAAATAGCTACATGTGGCTAATGGCTATCATATTGGACATCACAACTTTACAGTCTTCAGTGCTCCCTTCTCCATTATCTCATTTGACCCTTAGAAAATCCTGGCGAGGTTTATAGTAGATTTATAGTAGGCATAGTAGATTTGTAGTAGGTATCATTATCCCTGGGTCTCCAAGAGATAAAATTACTTGCCTAACAACACTCCATAGCTAGTAGGGTGCAAGGTCAGGATTGAAATCCGGTTTCTTGTCTCCCAGCAAATGTTCTTTCCATGTGGCCTTATATTCTAAAAAGGGATGCCCTTCAACCTGTCTCTCCCCTTTTACCCAGACCTTCCATCTACATGCTCCCCAAAGATCACAAGTATAGATTGGCTGGAGGTAAAGACTGTGTCCTCTGAATATAAGACCTGAAACAATAGAATGCATAGAAGAAAATATAGGAATGAAACTCAAGGAACCTTGGACTTAAAGAAGATTTTGTGAATTTGATCTCAAAGGCAAGAGAAATAAAAGCAAAAATAAATAATGGAACTATATCAAACTAAAAAGCTTCTGCTCAGCAAAAGAAATCGTCAACAAGGTAAAGAGACAACCATCTCAATGGGAAAATATATTTGCAAGCAATGCCTCTGATAAGGGCCTAATATCCAAAATATACAAAGAATTCATATGACTTGATAACAACAAAAAAACAAATAATCTAATCAAAAAAATGGGCTGAGGATCTGAACAGATACTTCTTCCTAGGGGACATACAAGTGGCCTACAAACATATGAAAAGAT